AAAACGGTCAAGAGAAAAAGGTCTTGAGACAAAAGATTAGAAAAGGGAAGAGTCCACTCAGAAAGACTAGGAGATCTAAATGTTGTAGATACAAAAAAGCACGCCTTTTTCTCCCAATTACAGAATTCTAAAAATTATACTGCAACTATATCAATTAATGCAACTATATCACTTAACTGATTCAAAATACACTGAGAGGGCGCCTCGGTGGCTCAGATGGTTAAGCATCTGCCTTCGGCTCAGGTCATGATCCCAGCGTCCTGGGATCGAGTCCCGCATCAGGCTCCCTGCTCCTTGGGAGCCTACTTCTCCCTCTGCCTCTCTCTCTCTGTCTCTCATGAATAAATAAATAAAATCTTTAAAAAAATAAAAAATAAAAAATACACTGAGGTAAGTAAAAATATTTCTTTACATAGGATACTAATCTACAGAAGTCACCCACTTGGGATGCACTGCATAAATCCCAGTAGTCGATTTTCCTCATTCGTGGTAGTTGTGTGCTATGTCACTGTGACCATGAATTACTGAATACTAATTGCTCCCAGAGAAAATACAGAATTCGGTTTCTGCCAGCCTTTGATAACATTTTAACAACTGATCAACAGGGACGCCTGGGTGGCTCATTTGGTTGGGCATCTGCCTTCAGCTCAGATTGTGATCCCAGGGTCCTGGGATCGAGTCCCGCATCGGGCTCCTTGCTCAGTGGGGAGCCTACTTCTCCCTCTGCCTGCCACTCCCCCTGCTTGTGCTCTCTCTCTCTCTGGCAAATAAATAAATAAAATTAAAAAAAAAAATTGATCAACATACACATAACCTGACGTGTGTCCATTGTTGACTCATTAACATTGGACTCACGCCAAAAGCACAATAATTCATAACTTGAAACAACTTGGGGTGCCTGGGTGGCTCAGTCGGTTAAGCATCTGCCTTCAGCTCAGGTCATGATCCCAGGGTCCTGGGATCAAGCCCCGCATCTGGCTCCCTGCTCAGCGGGGAGTCTGCTTCTCCCTCTCCCACTCCCCCTGCTTGTTCTCTCTGTCAAATAAATAAATAAAAATCTTTGAAAAAAAAAACTGAGCCAAGCTTATCTAACACAGGCATTTTCTCCCTACCATGTGTCGTATTTATTCCACAAGGCACAGCACAGCCTTGCTGTGCTCAGAAACACTAGACAGCATCTTAGCATTTTGTGTGGGGCCATTTTAAACAGCAAAATCACCAACAAAAAGCATAAAAGTGCAGAAAACAGGCACAACATATAAACAGCCCGTGAAAAGAACTCTTGTTTACAGTAGGACAGCTGAAACAAGAAGGTGACCCCAGCTGGGAACATGCATGTCAGGTGATGCAAAATTTTAGTGACTATGTGCATGCCCAAGAATGACCGTGAAAGAGCTCCAGGTATTGATTTTGGGGTTACAAATAAATTTGAGCAAGTAGGCAATCTGCAAACAGAGAATCTGTGAATAATGAGAGTTTACTGTACATAAACTCTTGCCAAGACAGATCCATGATAGAGGATAAAAGGAAACTCAGATGTTTGCAGGGAGTCCATTCATCTTAGAGGTTCAAGCAAAGAAAGACAAATACTCTCTCACAAACTATCCTTTGGGTAACTCTAAAGAGAGTAAAGATGAGATTTTAGCCAGAATAAAAAGTATGGTCAAAATGATCCAATTCTGCAAGGAAGTCTGCACCAAGGAACAAGGAGGGAGAACAGTATCCATGAACTCAAAAGCTGACAGCTCTGGATTTCCCTGGCATTCAAAGCAAACCAACCATCAAGGTCCACTATGGGAACTGCCTCAGTTCTTCAAACTGGACACAGAGTCAGGAAACCCAGGGCCAATCAGGCTTAATAAAGACCTTTTTTTTTTTTAAGATTTTATTTATTTGACAGAGAGAGACACAGCGAGAAGGGGAACACAAGCAGGGGGAGTGGGAGAGGGAGAAGCAGGCTTCCCGCCGAGCAGGAAGCCCGATGTGGGGCTCGATCCCAGGACCCTGGGACCATGATCTGAGCTGAAGGCGGATGCTTAACGACTGAGCCCCAGGCAACCCAGGCTTAATTAAGATCTTAAGAAAAAAAATCTCTGTGCCGTACACATTTTGTAATACAAGAAAATCTCTGTACCATAGGACAAGACCATCCTGATTACAGAGAATGCCATCCTGTGTTCCCTAGCTCTAGAGACATAGAACATTCAGGCTCACTCGCACCCAAGCCTGAAGCCAAGGTCAGGCTGGCAAATGCCAGATCCATTTCTACTAGTGATGGGGCTGAAGATCATCCTCTGTCCTCAATCCGGGCTTGCCTGGGCTGAAGCTACCATCTTCCCCCAGTCTGGTCCTACCTCCTGTGCTCTGATCAGTGTTTAGCCAGTACAGAACCTCAGTCCGGGGAGAGGAGAAAGCTCTGGAGATGAATGGTGGTATAGTGGTGATAGGTACATTCACAACAACGTGAATGTACTTAAACGTCCCTGAACGGTCCACTTAAAAGAGTTAAAACGGGGGCGCCTGGGTGGCTCAGTTGGTTAAGCGACTGCCTTCGGCTCAGGTCATGATCCTGGAGTCCCGGGATCGAGTCCCGCATCGGGCTCCC